TGTTCAGCATCTTAGCTGTAGAGGGCAGTGTCACTGGCCCTCATATGTGGGATCCGAACCGGGGCCCTCTGGTGTCCCAAGCCAGCTCTTAACCAATGCGCCACTTGGCCGGCCCTACATTCTATTTTGTGTACCAAGTCTTCAAACTCCAGTGTATACGTTATACTTACAGCACATCTCAATTCGAAATAGCCACATTTCAAGCACTCAATAACATGTAGCTAGTGGCCACCATATTAGACAGTACAAGCCTAAGGTATTCCCTGAAGGGAACTCCAGAAGCAGTTAACAGGGATTGCCTCTCAGGAAGAGATCTAAGGGACTGGGGAATAGGGATGGCAACCTTACTTTTAACCATAAACCCTTTTGTATTGTTTGGATTATGTACCAAGTATATGGATTGCATAATAAAAAAAAAAAGACCACATACCCTGATAATTTTGGGTGATAATACACAGGTGTTGGCAAGCAAATGGAAACAAAGCACATCCTTTGCTGTTGGTGGGAGTATATGTCCACATCACTGTTCCTGGGAGGACTGGCACTACTCTATTATATTAGTTAGAGATCGCCAGAGAAATATTGGGTTGTCGGAAAAGTCATGACGCATTTTTACAATAAAAAAACATAGAAAAAATACGCCATGACTTTTCCAACAACCCAATAGAACCAATAAGAGGATATTCCTTTAAATTACATTTAAGACATCTGATCAAGATGCCAAAATAGGTAAACATTGTGCTTACCTCCTCTTACAATCACATCAAAATTACAACTAAACTGCAGAACAACCATCATTGAGAATCACCTGAAGTCTAGCTGAACCAAAGCCCTACAACTAAGGACTAAGGACATACAGAAGAAGCCATCTCAAGACTAGTAGGAGGGGCAGAGACACTGAACGGGCTGGTCCCACACCCACGTGTGACTGTTAAAAATTGGGAGGGATAGGGTCGGCCGAGTGGCTCAGTTGGTTAAGAGCTTGCTCAAGAGTGCGAGCTCTGAGCAACAGGGTCGCCGGTTCGATTCCCACACGGGCCAGTGAGCTGCGCCTGAGCTGAGCTGCCGCTGAGCTGCCAACAAGCGGCAAGGTGGCTCAGCTGGTGAGAGCACATGCTCCTAACAAGAAGGTTGCCTGTTCGAGATGGTGGGCTATGCCTGCCTGCAACTAAAGACTGAACTCAGCACCTTGAGCTGAGCTGCCGCCCAGGTGGCTCAGGGGATAGAGCACGCTCTTAACTACAAGGCTGCCGGTTCGACTCCTACATGGGATGGTGGCAACGCCCACCTGCAACTAAAGACTGAACTCGGCACCTTGAGCTCAGCGGCATGACTGGACTTGGAGCTAAGCTTGCAGTGCCCTCCACAACTAAGATTGAAGGACAGCAACTTGGCTGTTCCCCTTCCCCAATTCCCCAACAGTGTTCCCCTCCCCCAAATACCCAACAAAATCTTTAAAAAATAAAATAAAATAAATTTGGAGGGATACCTTGGCTGCAGAGGTCTCACCCAGAGGAGTGAGGGGTCCCAGCCCCACACCAGGCTCCCCAGCCCAGGATTTCAGTGCCAGAGAGACAAATCACCATAACTTCTAGCTGTGAAAACCAGAGATTGTGGCTGAGTGAGACTAGGGCAGTTGCAGTCCCAGCACTCCTCTTAAAGGGCCCACACATAGACTTACGCACTGACAGTCTCACTCGATCTGAGCTCCAGCACTGGGGCAGCAGCTCAAAGACACCAGGGACACATGGGGAGGAACTGAATTGTCTGGCTTCAGGACAAGTGTTGGAGTGGCAGCTTTCTCCCAGAGGGCGGAACTGGTAGAAGCCATTAATTGATTGTTGAGCCATTCCCCCTCCCACATACAGATATAGGTGGCCCCCATACCTGAATCTCCATCAACTTAGCTAACACCGTTCATTCGTCCTGATTCTCCAAGTCCACGACACACCCAACTTTTGGGCCCACCCAAGCCGCTTCCACTGGCTTTTCCATATAAACAGCCTATCTTGGCTCATACTGCAGACTCTCCTAAAATCTCTCAAAGTTTCACAAAACCAAAATAAGCAGCCCTGCCTTTGGTGTGTCCTGTAACTCTGGCTGAGTGGGCCTAAGCCTGGCACTAGTGACAGCTGGCTTTGGTTTGCAGCTTGGCCTCTCAAGGCACCTCCAAGCCCAGTGCGGGTGGCAGCCATCTGCAGATTGCTTTGTGGATCATGCCAGGTGGCCCCAGGCAGAGCGCAGGCTGTGGCTGAACTTGGCCTGCGGTGGGGCCTCTCCTAATGACCAGCTTTGGACCCAGCCGGAGCATCACCCAGCCACCTCCAGGGATGACACCCCCAAAGGGCAGGCTGGGCAGGCACTAGAGACATGCTAATGTGAATCCTGCTCTGTAGGGCCAGCCCTTGCACAACAGCTCCTCCCCTGTAATCATGGCCAGTCCTCACATCCAATCAGCCCAAGGGTCAATGCCTCCCACTGATGTGCAAACAGCAACCAAGGCTCAACTACGATAGGAGGTCACACACAACCCACACAAGGAACACACCTGGATTACCCGATTCCAGTGAGCAGGAAGACTGAGCCACTGAGCCCCACAACACACCTACTATTACATAAGGATGCTCTACTAAGACCAGGAGATATAGCAGCCCTACCTAATACACAGAAACAAACACAGGGAGACGGTCAATACGGGGAGACAAAGAAACATGCCCCAAATGAAAGAACAAAACAAAGTTCCAGAAAAAGAACTAAACAAAATGGAGACACACAATCTACCAGATGCAGAGTTCAAAACACTGGTTATAAGAATGCTCAGTAATCTCAGGGAGAACTTCAACAAAGAGATAGGAAACATAAAAATAGAGACAGAAAACATAAAAAAGAACCAGTCAGAAATAAAGACTACAATAACTGAAATGAAGAATACATTAGAGAGAATCAACAGATTAGATGAAGCAGAGGATTAAATCAGTGATTTAGAAGATAAGGCAGCAGAAAACACCCAAACAGAAGAGCAAAACGAAAAAAGAATCTTATCCTCACAAAAATGTGAGGATAGTTTCAGGGGCCTCTGGGACAACATAAAGCATACCGACATCCACATCACAGGAGTTCAAATTTCCAGGTATAAAACAAAGAAGTCATGGGGACGTAATGTACAGCATAGGGAATATAGTCAATAATATTGTGATAACGTGGTATGGTGTCAGATGGGTGCTGGTCTTATGGTGATCACCTCTTTAGGTATATAAATGTTGAATAACTATTGTGTACCCCTGAAACTAGTATAATATTGAATGTTAGCTATATTTTAATAAAAATATATTTTAAATGACATTTAAATGTGTTTTTACTATATCAGCACTGTGCTAATTGCTTTTAATCTTCACAAAAACCTCAAGGTGGAAAGTGTTGTGGACTCCATTTTACAACATGGAAATCAAGATTCTGAGAGGTTAAGAAACTGGCCAGCTAGTAAGAGGTGGTACTTGAGTTTAAACTGATTCTGTCTGACTTCAAAGCTAGCAGATAAAGATAAGGAATGAACACAGATGGTCCAATAAAAGAGATTTATTATAAGGAATTGGCTCATATGATTCTAGAGGCTAAGTCTCACAATCTGTTGTCTGTAAAGTGGGGACCCAGGAGAGCCAGTGGTATAAGTCCTAATCCAAGGGCAGAAAACCCATGTTCCAACCCAACAGTCAGGCATAGAGCAAATTCTCCCTTCCCCCTCAATAGATTGGATGAGGCCCACCCACATGGGGGGTGGGGGGCAATCTGCTTTACTCAGTCCACCAATTCAAATGTGAATCTCATTCAGAAACACACTCACAGACATACCCAGAAATCATGTTTAACCAAGTATCTGATCACCCCAGGGCCCAGTCATGTTGACATATAAAATTAACCATCACATCCATTTCTAGAAATCTATCCTAAAGAAATGACTGGACAAGAGTGTCAGTGTGTCATGGACAAGGATGTTCATCTCAGCATCTTCGTTCTTACTGGGAAATTGAAAACATCCTAAATGTTGTAAACAGATGTGAGGTGAAACTGCACCCTCTGGAGGGGGTGGCTTCTAAAAACAGGCAGTAAGAGGAAATCACCAAGAGTCATATCACCCTTGAAAATAATTTAGACAGCAACATATTGGAAGCTCAGCACTAAATCCTACCCAGCGAGGTCACTGTTTCTGGGGGTGAACCCTGATGGGGTAGTTTACTTGCATGTAGGGGCCACACTGTGTGAAAAATACATACCCTAGACACTAGTATCACTTGGCAAGAAGGGAGAGATATTTGAATTGAAAGCAACAATAGAGGAAGTAGATTTCCCCTGAGGAAATAAGACGATTCATGGCTTCCATCTCATGTTCATTCTTTGAGTAAACTAGTGGACAGAATGACCCGTTATTCAAATTGTTCTCTCTTGCTCTGCAAAGTGTAGACGGTTCCATCGACATACTTTAATTTCACTGCGTTGATTTCAAGTTTGTTCTCCAAAATGTGTCAAAAATCTACAAAAAATAAAAGTTGATATTTTGACTTTTTTATGCATTTAATAATAACATAAAATAACGTATAAAATTTCCTATTGTTAATCATTCTTGAAAAACACAAAAATATAGAAAAATGTACATCTGCTCTTCTAAACTTCCTTTCTGGAATACTAACAAGATTTTTTTATAGTTTGAGCTCATGGGGTAAAGTTGAACGCTGCAGTCAGGGGCATGGAAATAGCATTCGACTATATTCGAACGTCGCAGCAAAAAGGTTAAGGGACATATGGTGTGATTCTGCTGCATACTGACATGTGCATAGGAAGAATAAAGTATGTAAGGGTATGCCCCCAAACGCTATGTTTTTATTTCTAGTCAGGATAACAGATTATGTTTTTTCCTTTGTCTTCTTTTCTTGTGTTTGAGAGTGCACACGTTTATCTATCTTTTTACGTGTTTCTCCAATGGACAGCCCGAAGGTGAATTTTGCTTTACTTCTGAAATATAAAAATAATTTTTTAAGCCAGCGCTCGCCCACCATGAGGTGACCCACCAGGGTCAGAAGAGTTGCGGGGGGGGGGCCCTCTGGACGCCCCCTGCCAGGGCCTCCTAAGAAGGGGAAATGGTGTGCTCAAAAAGCACAGGTGCATTGTCTCTGCCACCACATTGAAAGGGATTAAGGAAGCATTAGAGATGGTGCTGGTGCTTACAGAAAGCAGAGGTCCTGCTGGGGCTCCCTGAGGAGACAGCAGCTCCCCCGGACAGCTCACCTGCCCTAACTCCGCACCACTAACCCCTGGGGCTCAAAAAGAATTAGAAATGTCTCCTGCAGCGATGGCTCCCTGCTGGGGGGCACAGCTTCCCCACTCCTTCCCTTCAGGGCTGCAGTGGGCTTCTCTGGCCACCCTGTGGCTTGTCACATCACACACTGAGCTAGCACAGCTGAACTGCCAGCCTTGGCACAGCAGGAGGGACTCCGGCAGACACGGGACACATTGCAGAGGAACAAGCATGGCCGGGCCGCACTCAGTGAGGGGCAGGTTTAGAGCATGACACAATCCCTCGCAGCAACTTGCTGTCATTTCCAGTGAGCAAGCGCTAGCCCGTAAACATACTAATGAGACTCACTCCCAGGTCCTGGTGGCTCACCCCCGGACAGGACTACAGGACAGGCTCTCGTTTCATCTGCATCACAAGCCTCCAGGAAGGCGTTGCAACAACTACCGCACCGATGAAGGAAGCCAGGTGCGGGGAGGCAAATGAACTCACTCACCTAAGTGTTCCCAGGAAGACTCTGAGGCAGAGGTGAGCACGCAGGATGGTTATGAAGTCCCCTTGGAAGGGAGGAGAAAGAAACAGGGAAGGGAGGGCAGAGAGTGAAGTCAAGTGTGATGTGGGCCTAGTGGCAGCCTCGGCCACCCCCATGGAAGGCTCCAGAGCAAGAATGGCCCTTCTGAGTTGTCCTGAGTTGCACCTAGATGGCCAGATTTTTATACGTCAGCAGCCATTGGTCAATGGACGGGGCCTAGCCCAGAAAGCCATGACCTTGGTGAGGTGCCCTCTGAAGCTAAGGCAGACCCTGAAGGGGCCGAGAGCTGAGGGCTGTCTGCCAATCACACTGCTAACAGCATCACACTTTCCTGCCTCCCCCTTCCCCTGCATCTTGCAGGTAGAGGAGGCCAGTGATCAGTTCTGCCCACTGAGGTATGAGCTAAAATGACAGGTATCACTCCCCGGGGGGGGGGGGGTGAGATTCATTAGGCATCACCAAATGGCAGTTTACCACAATGGTTAAGCAATCATTCATTTGCTCCATGCATACATTTATTCATCAAATCCTTTTTCAGCACCTTGCATGAACCCAGCACTGTGCTAGGCTCTGGGGATTAAAAGATGAATAAACAGGGTCATTGCCCTTAAGATGTTCCACATGTCACAAGGGAGGTAGGCACAAGCAAATAATTGCACTATACTGTGTTCATTTCTATAGGAGAGGGGAGCACTGACTGGAGGAGTCCAAAGAGACTTCCTGGAGGAGGTGACATATGAGCTAGCTCTTAAAGGGCAAGTATATGATTACCAAGCAGACCAGGGGCTGAAAAGCCTTTCCGACAGAGGGAGCAATACCTCCAAGGACACCAAACGTTGCAGAGGTTGTGGAGAGAGGTTCAGAGTGGCTGGAGCACAGGGTGTGTGGAGTGTGAATGATTTGATGCTGAAACCTGAAGAATCAAGGGAGGCTTTCCAGCAGAGAAGTCGTGTGAGACAAAGTCTTTCTGGGAGAAGGACTCCAGCGGGAGGGTGGAAGATAAAATGGCAGAGGAAAGATTAGAGGGAGACCAGGTAGAAGGCCACTGTGTTAGTCCTGGCAAGGGACAATGAGGCTCAGACCAAGGCATAGGAGTGAAGACTGAGGCCAGAGAGCAGATTTGATCAGAATTTCTAGGATATATGGGCCCGATGTTGAGCTGGCGGCCTGAGGGTGACTAATTCTGGATGATTGACCTGAGTTCTTTATAAAGAGGCCTTAACCACAACTAGACTGAAGAACAAAAGGACAGCAACTTGTCTGTTCCCCTTTCCCAATTCCCCAATAAAATCTTTAAAAAAACAAAACAAAACAAAAAAGACTTTAAGTGAAGAACACCAGTCTATTAGGCCTCTGTAGCTTGATGGAAATTTGTTCTAATTCTCTGCTTAATAAGCAGTTTCTGGTCTACAGTTTGGTCTATGGAGGAGATCGACGCTCCCAGAAGAATGTCCTGTGCAGATCAAAGGCTTGTGTTCAGGACTCAGAGAGGAATACCTAGTCAAAAACACACGCTTGGGGCAGCCAGTTAGCTCAGTTGGTTAGAGCGCAGTGCTCATAACACCAAGGTTGCCAGTTCAATCCCCACATGGGCCAAAAAACACACACAGGCTTCTCTTCCCTCTTACTCTGCTGCTAAGGAACTCGGTCTCAATTTCACATTTTGGCTGATATTCTTCCTTCTGGAACAGATGGGTGCATTTTTTTGTCCTCTACATATATGATATAAGGGTAGAGGTGACATCATTTGCTGATACACTGAATGTAAGGCATGAAGGAAAGAGCAAAGTTGAAGATAACACCAGGCTTTGGGTCTGAGCAACTGGAAAAATGGAGTTACCATTTATTGAGTTGGGGTAGGCTGGGGGAGGAGAAGGTTGGGGGAGGTAAGAGTATAGTTTTAGACATGCTATAGGTGAGATACTATTAGGCACGCAAGTGGAAAAAGGGAGAAAGTGGTTAAATATATTAATATAAAGTTCCAAGACATTACCCAGAATGCAGCAAAGAAAGAGAGCTGGAAAATATAAAAGAGGGGTTCATAGATATAGAGAGGATAGACTGAGACGGTCTAGTAAATGTTTGATTGGTGTCTCTGAAGGAAAAAAAATGGAAGAAAGGCAATATTTGAGGCAATAATGGTTGACAATTTTCCAAAATGAATGAAATACATGAATCTTCAGATCCAGAGCCAAACAGAGTCAAACAGGATAAAAACAAATCCACACATCACACACAGTGAAACTGTAGAAACCAAAGAAAAAGAAAAAACAAAGATTCTAATCTAAAGCAGCCGGGGTAGGAGGGGAGCACAATTACCTATAAAAGAATGACAATTTGGGCCGGCCGAGTGGCTCAGTTGGTTAAGAGCTCGTTCAAGAGTGCGAGCTCTGAGCAACAGAGTCGCCGGTTCGATTCCCAGCCCGAGCTGAGCTGCTGCTGAGCTGCCAACAGGTGGCAGGATGGCTCAGCTAAAAATAAATTTAAAAAAAATATATATATATTCCACATACCATGCAATTCATTCTTTTAAAGTGTGCAGTTAAGTGGCTTTTTGTATATTCACAAAACTGTGTAACATCACCACTATCTAATTCTGGAACATTTTCATAACCCCCCAAAGAAACCCACTACCCACTGGTAGTCACTCCTTTTTTCCCCCTCCCCGCAGCCCCTGGCAAGCACTAACCTACTTTCTATTTCTATGGATTTTCCCATTCTGAACATTTCATATAAATGGAATCATACAATATGGGCTCCTTTGTGACTGGCTTCCTTCACTTAACATAATGTTTTCTAGGTTCATCCACACTGTAGCATGTATCAGTGCTTTATTCTTTTTATGGCCAAATAATATTCCATTGTATGGATATACTACATTTTATTTACCCATTTGTTAGTTGTTGGTCATTTGGGTTGTTTCTACCTTTTGGTTATTAGGAATAATGCTGCTATAAACATTCATGCGCAAGTTTTTGTGTGGACATATTTCTCTTGGGTATATACCTAGGAGTAGAATTGCTGGGTTATATGGTAACTCTATGTTTAACATTTTGAGGAATAGCTAAACTGTTTTCCAGAGTAGCTGTACCATTTTACATTCTCACCAGCAATGTATGAGGGTTCCAATTTCTCCATATCCTTGACAACACTTACTATTATTATTATTTAAGATTTTATTGAGGAATTGTGAAGGGGAACAGTGTTGTAGCCCACCATCCCATGCGGGAGTCGAACCTGCAACCTTGTTAGGAGCACATGCTCTCACCAGCTGAGCCATCCTGCCACCTGTTAGCAGCTCAGCTTGGGCGTAGCTCACTGGCCCATGTGGGAGTGGAACCGGCAACCCTGTTGCTCAGAGCTCACGCTCTTAACCAACTGAGCCACTCGGCCGGCCCAACAACACTTATTATTATCTGTCTTTTTTTTATTATAGCCATCCTAGGGAATGTGAAGTAATATCTCATTGTGATTTGCATTTCTCTAATGACTAATGAGGTTGAGCATCTTTTCATGTGCTTATTGACCATTTGTATATATTTTTTGGAGAAATGTCTAGCCAATTCTTTTGGCCATTTTTTAATTGGGTTGTCTTTCTATTATTGAGTTGTAAGAGTTTTTTACATATACTTGATACTAGACCCTTATCAAGTATATTATTCTCAAATACTCTAACCCTTTCTATATGTTGTCTTTTCATTTAATTGAT